TTTATGGCATAAAATCGCTCAAATTTGGGCGGAAAATCGCTAGTAAATAGGTGTGCAGAATTGTAACCAGGCCCAGGCCTACTGCAAATATATTGGTTGATAATCAATGCCTATTACCTAGTATTAAATTGTTGAAAAAGATACTTCGTTAGTGGTTGAATCATGTAAACATATTTTATAATGAAAAAAATAAGAATTAAAAATTAGGTGCGAAAATGCATTAGCGTCGCCATAAACTTTAGCCCTTCAAAATGGATTTATAATTATTTTGCCTAGGCCTGGCCCTAGGACCCTGGCCTAGGCTATATTATTATAGGCCTAGGCCTAGCCTTATAGGCCTAGGCCGAGCCTAGATAGGCCGAGCCTATTTATGTAGGCCGCGCGCCGCCAAGCAAGGGCCTTGCTTGCATGGCCTACCTAGTAGGTTAGTCATCTCATTTACATTTTGCACTCCCGTAAGCTGGGCTAAATTACCTTTCGAAAAAATACACCTTGAACTTTACCATGTATTTCAAAATTTACAGAAGTTATAATGTTTTGATTAGATGATGCCATTCTGCTGAAGATGTCAAGAATATTTACAAATTGATTCAGATTCCGAAAGTACCGTATTTTGATAAACATTGTAGTGATGACCTTTGGCCCGCTGTTGACATGGCCAATCATATTATATATGATAGGTAAAACACAAAATTTGGTAAAACATAATTATTATAGAATTTAATCATATTATTTTAAAATGTATTTGATAACAATATGAGGACGACTACATATATGTCTTTATAGAAAAATGATGTATTAAAGATTAATTTATTTTAAAAAAACAAAAAGGAGCGAATTTAAAATATTTAAAATAAAATGATATCTTCCAATGGCTGCGTATTGACTAGTCACTTTACTTGCTTATCACAGACTAAAGAAGTAACGAAGGAAGTAGACAGTGGAATGTAACGAAAAATAGACTTCTAGATTTACCCTAACGTTTATCATAAATAATAATGGTGACTAGAGAAGAGGTATTGGGATTCACTCCTCAAAAAGAAATAATATACAATAAACTTCTGCCATATTATGAATCAATCGATTGTGAATCAAATTGCCAGATTGCAGACATCAAGTCGAACCTCGCAAGAGCAGTCCAACTGAAGGAACTTCGCCCCGGTGTTGTCCACTGGACTTCAAAACTATACACGTAAGGATTATGGGCCTAGGCCTGGACTCAATTAATTAACCTATTTTTATTTTAGATAGTACAGGTCGATTTCTATGCATATTTTGTATCAAGTTTTTTGTTTTTGTATGTAATGAATTACGCGTGGCCTCGGCCTAGGCCTAGTTTAGTTAGTTACTTTCTGCACACAATTAATTAAAAAAAAAAAAATTCTGCACTTGGTTTTCTGAAGTTTTTATGTCTTTAATGTAGGTTTACAAAAATCAAGTTTTTTTTTAAATTATGAACTATTTTTTAGCAATGCTATTAACAATTTTCGTCTTGCCAAGCTAACCCTACAAACACAACAAATTGAAATTCTGTTGTGCTCTATCTAAATTAGTATTTAAAATATTAATTCTACTGTACTAGGCTAGGCCCATTCATGTACACAATTATACTTTTTATTCGTTTTTGATAAGTTAATAACAGTGTTTATAGTACTAAAGTAGTAATAAAACTAAGTGCTGTTTAAATTCATTTTTTTTAACAACAATCTTAAATTAATCGGAAATCTAAACTGTTGTGATACATCGTTTACACTATAATAAAATGTGAAAATCAGTTTGTGTTAAAATGAATTATCAATAATACTATTTTAAATACTGTAAATATATTGTCATAACTACTGTATTAATTTGTTTATATGATCACAAATGACTTGCATTAATTGATTGTCAGCCATTTATTTTATTTGCTCTGACCATGATCAGGTGTTCCATACATTATTATAACTCCATGCTAGGGCATACATAATCTCTTGATGCTGATTGGTGTAATTTTCAATAGGTCATGACTAGGTAATATTGAAATCCAAAGGGAATTTTGTTCATACTTTAAAATACTATCAAGGTAAAGATCTTTCTGGAAAGATTTTCTGTACATCATCTGATATACATAAACTTATTTGAATTTCTAAACATACATGTACAATTTAGAACGTTGATTGATTGATTGACTTTATTTGGAACTCAAAAACTATAGCAATACATTAAAAAAAAACACAAACACAAAAAAAGTTAAAATTTACGGTATTTCCAAGGTTGATTTATTTTTTTATTATTTATCGGCATATTCCTTGATTGGTTGTACAGTATTAATTCAGAAAATTATTGATTTTTATACTATTTTCGTATTGAATTACACCATTTTCCAATACAATTTCAGATACTCTAGATACAAATGAATATAAAGATAATTACTCATGAAAGCTATAGTAAGAGTAAAAAATTCCAAATTGTATATTATTCAAATGTATTGATAAAGCACAGTAAATCAGTGGCGGATCCAGGGAGGTTCAAGGGGTTCGGACGAACCCACCTCTGTGAAGAAACGTAACAAAATACAACTGGGTCCTTGCTTACATAAGGCATGCTAGACTATTGTACCTATGTAGGCATAGGCTGGAAGATCAGACAAAGTACAGTAGGCTTAGCCCAGCTAGTTTTCAATAAATAAATTATAAACACTGTTTTTGGTTCGCCGTCATAATAATTTATGTACGAAAGTGCGTTCTTCAGGCCTATCGGTTCATCGATCCATGGAAGAAAGACTACATATATCTAACTACTCAATGTTGTTGGAATATAATAATATATTGCTTGTCTTTAACTTTTTTCCTCAATGATAGGCCTAAAGAATGAGATAAAATTACCAGACCTTTTTTCAAGAGGAGGAAAACATTGAATTTGAAGAACTTTTAAAGGCCATTAAAAGATTCCTCAGAAATCGGGAAAGCTCATTTCCGACCATCTAGGCATCAAAATTTTCCCCTGGAGGACCCCTGGACTCCACTTTCATTTTGGCGTTTTTTGGGAAACATTTTGAACCCCCCTCTTTTATATCCTGGATCCGCCCCTGGTAAATGTTTTTAGTATAAAATGTGGAGGGATCACAATTTTCAATCCTTTCATAATTTAATTAAAGATTCCTTGAAATTGATACCATAATATTAGTACAGTTATTTACAGTTTAACTACATTGTTTTCAAAGATTATTTTTAAAGTAAACCTATTTTCTTTAAAATAAAAATTATGAATAGAGTTCTTGGGTCAAAAAGCTTCACTTGTTCACATACCAGTAATTTTTACCATTTATCCTAAATTTTTCTGTAGTTTACAGTCCCTTGATAATTTAATTCTATGATTACTGTAAAAAAAAATTAATAAATGTATTGATAACGATTTTGGGAAACGAAAATTTTTCTTGAAATAAAAATAATATTTGTGAGCTTAAAAAAGGATGTTTAAAAGAGTGCTCAGGTCAAAAGTTAAAAAAAAAAAAACCCCTACAGTACTGTAAATTTTTTGAGATTTTGGAATGGTCGGCTTGGCAACACAGACTTACTTTTTTAAGCATTTCCTGACAATAATCAGTGTATTTTATGGACAAGTGCAATAGCTTTAGTGTTGATATTATACTAATCCTTCTCATTGGTTTGTGAGCTGTAAACTGTTATCCATTGTTGTCGTCATAGCATACTGTCATCAAAGTGTAGACTCTTCTCCCACAGCAACGTGATACCGTCTAATCTGTGACTGGTTTAGCCAGAAAAACAAAATAGGCCGTCCAAAATATGCTTTGTACAGTAATGCAGCATTTGATAGATTCGCAGAGACCCAACTAGCCTAGGCAGAGCTGAGTAGGCCAAGCTGTCACGGTAATGGTGGCTGTCTTAAATAATGGTTGACCGTCCAAGAGACGGCCAGACGTGTCGCTGGCTAAGCCCTTGGTCTGTGCAATCCTTGTTGCCTTTTCCATCGAACAAAAATCCTTTTTCACTGTTCTATCCCATTTACATCTTGGTCTTCCTCTTCTTCTCTTGCCTGGAATATTTTCCTCACAAACTCTTTTTCATCCCATCATGGTTATCCATTGTACAAACCAATTAAAATAATGAATATTTTCGTTGACATGGTAATAGTTGTGTTCATTAATATCAGCCTTAATTTTGGACCTTCTCTACTACATGGTTTGTTTAGGTATTCAGTCAGTAAGTATCACAGACCCTGCACATTATACACAGAACATGACATGTAGTTTGCACTATTATGCTTTAAAAAGTCCTTACCAATTTTATTTCAAGAGAGAAAAAAAACAGTGTTGGATTTAGGGAATTGGCAAAGAGCATCCAAAGAAGACTTACTGTAATGGTGTGCATAGCACAAAGCATGGGTTTCAATCCATTTTGGAACAACTTTTTCAATATTTAGATTATTCTTTTTCTCCAATGAATATTTCTGTCAACCCTTGACAATACTGTATTGTACAATGAGCTTTATTCTGTTTTTTTATTTTTATTTTTTTTTCAGGTACATCAATTTGTATGGACGCAAGTTTAGTAAAACAGATCATTTAGCATTTATAAAGCTCTATTATGACCTACTCGTGATTCCTGAACTGGAGTTTAAACTTGTCGAGAGGTTTTCTAAGATGTTGAACGTGCTTCTAAAGTATGTATTTATAACCAATTTCAGAATTCCACTAATGTTTTATGCCTTTGCTGTAGTTTGATGTTAATATGTTTTCCTATCAGGTACCATATGTTTCTATTTGTGCTTTGATAATAAAAAGAAAATACAATATTGTAGTCTTTGACAGTGTGCTGAAATATAGACAATAATATTTGTATCATTTTAAATTTTTTATGTTTACAATTATATTTAAATTGTTAATATTTTTAAAATTATTATTTATAATTATATAGTTCTGGTACATCTGAAAATAAATAAAATAAGAGAGATGTATGTTTGATAATAAGGTTTATGTTTTAAAGCTGTACGTTAAATACTCCATAATTGTTGGTTAAATTCTCATCGATATTTTTTAAAAACTTGATTCAATTTCATCTTTTCATCTACCCATCTTATTTAGACCTATCAATTGCGGTCTTAATATTCAAGGCTACCTAAATCTGACTTACTTTTATAGTACATGTACAGTAAGCCTCCTAATTAATTAAATTTTCATCATAACACCTGCCATACAGTACCTGTTTTTACACGCATATGTTGAACGCATATTCCTATGATATATGTATTTTTTTTTTTTTTGTGGGAAGTTTATTTATTAAAAGTTTATAACACTATCATGAGTGTATTGAATGATATGTGAGTTTTGATCATTGATAAAGAGCTAAAAGATTATAATTATTAATTAGTTTTTAATTGTATATTATGATGTTTGTTTGTACATAGCTAATGTTTTATTTGCTTTGAAATAGTTACATACAGTAGGCAACACTATGTTTTCTGCTATCTCTATTTTAGGAAAATAAAATTGTGAATTATTAATTTAATAAGTAATAATTATCATTAATTTAGTATTATACTGTAATTATTATTATCGTCCATGATATCAATACCAATATATTTGGTCCATAAATGATAATCTCTCCACAGTAAGCCTATAATTAATTGTGTTCTGAGGCATAAAATGGAAAAGAAAACATTCAAGTGGGACTTTTTTGCAGCCTTTGTTTGGGGTGGGTGGTGTGAAACATGTAAAAATAACAAACCAAAATAACATGTTTATTGTGTTTCACAGAAAGCGGAGCATTTTGTCACGCGAGGACCTGGTTCTGCCATGGCGCCCTCTATATGCTTTAGTAAAGAGAGTTCTTTATTCATCCTATGAGCAGTTGGGTATGGAATGGATACCAGGGTGAGTAATTCCGGCCACACAATGCGCCCCCTATGTTCGTCAGCTGATGCGATTCTATCAAGAACGCCACGGCGCGTGCGACGGATCGTTTTTTATGACGATCCGTTCAGACTGCTACCGACAATTAGCAAACGGTGTTGCGTCGTCTAGCTCTCGCAGGGAGCGGAGTTGGACTCGTTGTATGACAGTCATATGATGACCATTATATGACACGGTGATTGCCCGGCTTAACACATTACCAGTTATCATAATAATGGTTGCCATTCTGCTGGCCTTGGAGTGACATCCCTACTAAAGATCCTCAGGCAATTCTGGAAAAAAAAAAGCTGATTCCTGTTCAACGTATGGCCAAAAAATATCCAGTAGGGAGGGAGGATTTTGGTCTGTTCTTCTTTTTTGTAATTACATATTACAGACAAATTATTCATCTAAAAAAAAGGCAGTGTCTTGCAAACCCACACCCTTGGTTCTGCACCCCCCTCCCTTAAGATTATAAATGGGTACAGTAAATTTTTGGGATTGCCTGCTTCTACGTCAATACTGTGGCAGATCCAATGAATACGGGATAAAGAAGTGCTTCGTAAACCGAAAAGTGAGGTGATATGTAAATGTTCACATAAAGACCAACTCAAAGAGGGTCGTAGGACGTACCCCGACGTGATGTTTATTGTCTCGTCAGGCCTGTGTGAGTTGAACACTGATGCACTTTACGTCAGGAACAGTCATGTCGTAGAATATTAAACATGTTTAATATTCTCGGGGCGACCTCAAGACTGTCCCCGACGATGAATAGCATCAGGCTTGGTTGTACGACACTGTCTGTATTAGCGTTAACATTACGTAAACATTTTATGCAAGTAATATATCGTGTCTTTCTCACAGATCGATTGAAGGCTGTTTGAAGAATGTAGTACAAAGCGCACGAGTGTAAGTATTATCATTTAGTTATAGTTGAAGATGTATTAGTTTATTTACAGCTGTGACGTAGCTGTGTAATGACTACACATTTCAACATTTCTAAAAGTTTTAGGAATTTAGTGAGTTGAGGTATTTGGGGCCAACCAACTTGAAGTTTACCACATAGTCTAAAGCTGACCTCATGGCCCTCCACCCACATTAATTAACCCGTTTGCCCTTTCTTACTTGTTTACTTGTAGTCCCTCAGAGTCTTTAGCAGAGCTACTTGACTTCTATGGATTCGAGGTTAAGCAAAATATGCTTATATACCCCTCTGAGTGATCATGTTCATATTGTTCAAAAGGCGAAAACTTCTGTGTGTGGTCATAGTCCATGCTTCCTCAAACTAAGCCTTAAACACATTCACATTTTACTAGCAGATATTTCCTGATCCGGAAGAGTTGGAGACCATTCCATAAAACCGCTTGAAATGAGAAGGAATTTACTCTCAAACTGATCGTGGGACGATGAAATTATAGTTTGAACCTGTGTCCATGAGAACATGAGTCAGAATCAAAGTAAAATATTACATCACTAGAAATCCATATCAAACCATTTATTATTTTAAAAACCTGGATCATACCTACGCCATGTCTTCTGTATAAATAGTGTTGACAAGTTTAATGCTATTAGGCGTTCAAATATGTCAAAGTTCACATACCAGAAATCATCCTGGTAGCCCTCTGTTGAACATTCTCAAGGAGATCCTTATCGCGTCTATTAGTATTTAATTTAATATCCACTCGTAGAGGGTTTACCAATTTTATCACGCTCCCTCCCTTAAAATGTCTACCACCACCAATTATTATTTTCTACAGTTACAACCCCGATTACACCAATATCACTAACTAAAATAAAATGAAAGGCGCTGTACATGTCTTGAGGATATGGTTAATGTTTTTTTATGAACTAGCAATGGACCATTTAGTTTAAGCCCTACCTTTCAAGATTTTTTAAAACATACATGTGATTGGTCTATTGTTATTAGTTTCATTGACTCTCTAGAGGTGGCCATTTAAGGGAATTCTATCTTTAAATTAGCTATTCTATTTTTTTTTTTCTGCCTAAAGATCATCATTTTAGAGAAATTATTAAAAAACTATTTTTTCAGGTATTTTTCTGATGAGTCCACTCAGGAGATGTTGGATGAATGGCGCCCTCTGATGTGTCCCTTTGATTACACAATGGAGGTTGCCATAACATATTTTGTGTTGTTTTTACCTACTACTTTACCACCTGATAAACATCAGTTAGGCTTCAAGTAAGTTATATTTTGCATTTACAAAAAATAATTATTATAATATTATTACTAAAATAATAATAATAATAATAATAATAATAATAATGATAATGATAATGATAATAATAATAATGATAATAATAATAATTTTATTAATTTAATTCTATCTTATTGAATTCAAGTATTAGTAATTTGAGTATTTCATTTTGTAATTTATATCCTTCAGACAGAAACAAAATATTTTTTTAGTATAAATTTTATATTTTTTATGTAAAGACTAAAAAATTAATAAAAGGAGAAAAAAAAATAGGTATTTAATATTTTTATCTTTTTTATTTCAGACTGTGGCTTGATGAGTTTTTACAGATATGGGACAGTTATCACAATTCACCACAGTGGGAGGGAGTAAGTATAATGACGTTTACAATTTTAGAGTTTTTCCCAGAATGTTTTTCCTTGATTTGAGCAGCTTTTGTATTTTTATTGTTTTATTTTAAAGGTTCTGAATTGCCCATTTATTTTTTTAATTGTATTTTAATATTGACAATATCAAATAAAACTTACGAAATGATAACAATATTTTGGAATGTGTTGATTATTACATAGCACCTAATGCCAGCCTTCTTGTGCTTAAAATGCAATAGTATGTCTAGGAGTACTGAGGCAGTATGTTCTTTTGTTTAGCCAATTTCCAGCGTGTGGTGGTGGGGTGCTTGAAACTTTTTCTTGGTTGTGAGCAGTTCCCATGTTCCAGAGGATGAAAATGAAAATAGCAAAAGTGTATAAAAAGAGAATGATTTAGAATACACAAAACAAACTTTTTTTTTCTTGTAGAAGATTTGAGTAAAGCAGCCTTAAGTATTCTCGGTGAGTGTAACACAGCATTCAATATAGTGATCTTCAGTGCCAAAATTGTGTAATATGCTTCCACTAATTGATGAATAACAAGAAAATAATAGATCAGTCTAGGACAGTAAATGTTTTCATTTAATTTCTTCTGCAGTTCAAGTTACAGAGGGTACTTCACAAGCTGTCTCTTATACACATCTAGATGTGTATAAGAGACAGGTTCTCCAGAGTTGCTGATGATAACATTGGTTATATTGACTGGGGACCATATATACCAAAAGTGAGTTTATTAAACAAATTCTGATTTTCAGTGGTTGCGTCAACCATTCCTATTACATGAATTGTCAAGTTTCTCAATTTTATTTTTAAAACTTTTTATTCAGCATTTGATAAAAGGCCAAGGATATCAAAGTGGCATTCCCTTCACAAGACAAACATACGCACAAGAAGTCTCATGAGGTTTAGAGAGTGGAGGAAAAAAATCCTGTTGCCATGACAGGATTCGAACCAAAGACCATGCGATTGGAAGGAAAGCATCATAAACTCCACTCCTAACCTTTAGACCCACACAAGGGCTTCTCCCCCAACACTAATTTGGTCATAGTGGCCCTGTTGGTCTTTACCAGAAATTGTCTGTCGTCACCTAGCTGACACGCGTCAGCAGAGAAATGTGGAAAACAACTTTAATATTAAATTTCTCATTTAAATCATGAATATATTGTCAAATTCCAATAAGAGAGATTGACAAAAACTCTTGAATATTGAGTTGAATAACTAGAGTTGAGTTGAATAGCTTGGCGAATTATGGTAACAGGACGAAAATGACTCCACTCCCTAAGCCTTAATAGTCTATGTAGAGCATCTTGTGTTTGTGTTTTTTGGGTCCACGCCTCACTGCTGTTCTTGTTCTTGTTACCAAAACTTTAAAAGCATACAACGTCATCAGTTTTGAACAGATGTACAGGAAATTTTGTACACATAAACTAGAGGTGATTTCCAACAAACGTTCATCGCCCTTTTTTTAAGTTGGACCCCAGGGTTCCCCCTACAAAACAAAACAGGGGTTTCAGAAAGGAATGTACATTACTGCCATTATCATTAATACGGCACGTCGCATGGATGGCACGGTCGGTTAATGATGTATTCTAAAGAACTTAAGGTTGGGAGTTTGAATTGTGTCTTGTTATTCAATTTTTTTTTTTCCCCATTTTTAGAAATTAAATTTTTTTCAAATTTAAGATATTTTATTTTTTCCAATTTTAAGATATTTTAACTTTTATATATGAACATTCTAAGTAATACTTTTTTTTGTACAAATAAACATCCTAATTATTAAAAAGTCTTATTAGCTCTTCCAAAAAAACCCAATATAATAAATTGTGCCTGTACCGTATTTAAACGTGGAGGAACACGCAGACCGGTGAGCGGTCGCTCTTGTCTTGTGAAGGGATATGATGCTTAGAAAAGTGATTAAGTTGCCTGTTTGATATATTTTTGGCTCTTTGTGTGTGATTATGATAATTCGATGACAATTTTATTGATTGTATTAACAGTTCTTGACCTGTTACCTGAGAGGTTTCAATCTACCAGTTGGGTCAAAGAGATTGCAGGTGGCTCGTCGGACAAAAGGCTATGAAAATGTTGTTATGGCAACATTCCTCGTTGCAATGATGGTCAGTTTGCGTTTTCGTTATGTTTTTACAATTCATATGGGGTCATTTACTGTATAATGTCCAATAGTATATCATATAGGTGCCATACAAATTCACACTAACCTGTTCTCTTATAAGGGACACCATCGGTATATAAATAATATAAGAAATACTGCAGTTTTTAAATTATCCTGACTTATTTTAGTCTTTATCTGCTTTTTTTTCTGTTGATCGAGCCCCACCTTGTCCATGTCAATGCCCTTTCATCCAATGATGAATCTGTCTAGCCTCAAGTTACTAGATCTAGCCGCTCTCCCTTCCCGTACTGTTTTAAAAATTGAATAACTAAAGCATCTCTCGCACTAGAAATTCTGGATTCCCTGTAAATAATACTATATAATAACAATAAAAATGCAGAATTATTTTTTCATAGATACAGTACATATTTGAATGATAGATATAAATTTCTATAGCTCCGGATAAAACGGATGTTGTCACTAGCGTTTTACAGTATATTACACAATAAAGAGAAAAAATACAATACTACTACTACTACTACTACTACTACTACTACTAATAATAATAATAATAATAAATATAAATAATAGTAATAAGAACAATAATAATAGCAATAAAACAACAATAACAAAATAACAATAATAAAAATATTAAAGATAATAATAATAATGAGATAATAATCAAACAAGAATAAGAAAATAATAGAAAAATAATAAGAATTATAACAAATGAAAACAACAAATCAAATAATAATTAAATAAAGAGAATTAAAAACAATAATAAAAAAAATGAAAAATTTGAAAGTAATTATCGTAGAGGTCCAACAAAATCTAAGGCGAAAAAGCAAAGGAAAAGAAAAATTATTTGAAGTGAGATTTTAGAAAACACATTTACAAATATGTATACTATAAATCTATTTTGTTATTTTTATCCTTTAATGCAGGGTAAAAATCAAGATGCATTGAATCATTTGAAGACATTTTTCAAGGCTGTTGAATCGTTCTTCCATCCATCAAATGCTGGTAGATTCTCGGTGAGTGTAACACAGCATTCAATATAGTGATCTTCAGTGCCAAAATTGTGTAATATGCTTCCACTAATTGATGAATAACAAGAAAATAATAGATCAGTCTAGGACAGTAAATGTTTTCATTTAATTTCTTCTGCAGTTCAAGTTACAGAGGGTACTTCACAAGATTCCACAAGCATTTATCAAACGTCTACACAGGTAAAGAAAAAAAAAAAGCAATTTTTTAACAATAATATATGAATAAAGTGTATTAGATTTTAACAAATAAATCAGTGGTGGATCCAGGTGGTGCCAAAGAGGTGCTTGCTCCCAACCCCCCTCCCCAGCAACAGCCAAAAATTGTGAAAGATATTAAAGCGTGAAGATATTAAAGTAGCTAAAACTAAAGACCTAGCCCCCTGGACCCGCAATAGATAATGAAACATTCAAAAAGCTTCCTCTATGAACCCATAAGTAAAGGTAGGAGAATAACGCATTGCTTGCAGAGTCATTGTGCAGAATTGCGTATGGGCGTAATTCCGTAAAGAGGTGCTTATAGTGGCTTCATGTTCACATCATTCAACAACATTGGCTCAAATAAACTTAGTTCTACTAACCGAACCCTGGGCGAGCAATGGCTCGAACCAGCACCAATGTTATGGCAGTAGTACCCCAGCCTTCCCATTGGCCACTTGAACCTAAGTTTTGCTCCTTCAGACTGTAGGTCCTTGATTGCCAATTGCGCAATCCGGCTAAATATTTTTGGATTTTCCACTGTAACCATTTCATTTTCTTTTCCCATTTTTCTTAGGGAACGGTATGCAAAGCCATCTTGGCAGAACAACATCCCTGATGATTACAAGCTCACTGAGGATGACATCACGCTGTTTGTTGAGGCATTCAAACCTGTTATTTTCCTGGCCATCTTCAGTAAGATGGGGCACCTCGATGCTGCAGCAGGCCTACAGAGCCTAGCCCTAGTTAGACCTGAACTTGTCATACCCCAGCTACTTGAAAAGTTAGTAATGCACCATTCTGCTATTTAGTTATATTGCATTGAAGTAAATTATAAATGTCTTTATATTAATTTTAAGGATAAAATTTATAATGTATCTAATTATGGATGTAATTGCAGGGGCGGATCCAGAGATTTCCTGACGGGGGGTGGGGGCACAATATGTCCACGCCGCCATGCCCACCTCCATCACATCATGGTTGATGTAAATAAGTGGTAAACAATCGAGCTCTCCTTTCCCCCACTGCTGGATCGCCACTGAACCCATGGGTGCACTCTCTTTTCCCCCCTTTCGTCTCTTGAACTCAAAATTTTCTGCCTCTTTATTATTTTTCGGCTTGACCGATGGGGGTAGCACGGGCCCTTATGGCCCCCGCTGGATCCGCGCCTGAACTGTGATTGTGGTGACGAGAAGGTGATCAGGATGATGATGATGGATAAGGAAGATGACGTGAGATGGTGGTAATGGGGGTGAGAAGGATGATGAAAAGGTTGAGGGTGGTGATGATGATGACAAAGTTAAGAATGAGGATGATGATGATTAGGAGGAGGACAAAAAAAAGAGGAGAATGTGGATGATGATGTGATGGTGATGATGATAAGGAGGAGGAGGAGGCTGATGATGATGATGGTAAAAATGTTAATGATAAGGAGAATGACATCAAAGATGATGACAGTGGTGTAATACCAATTAACTGTCTGATGATGAATTTGATTTCACTAATGATTGATGTAAGTATGATTGTAATGATAATGTGTAGTAAAGGTTCACAGATTTCTCTTCCTTTGTATGTGAGTATTATCCTCTGACCTTTTATTATAGGACCTATGCAGCATTAGAGACCCTGACAGAGCCGCACCAGTTGACGGCCACTTTAAGCTGTGTGGTCTCCGTGGCACGATCGATGTTGAAGGCCCGCAAAAGGTATCCTGAAGGGGCTTCTCATGTAATACCAATCCTGACAGCCGTCCTACCCGGCATTGATCCCAACGATTTCATCAAGTGTATGGTAAGTTTGCAATTAATTATTGTTGTGTGGTGCAACTTTTTGTAATTGCACTCAGTATAGCTAATTATTAAATAGACTTCTACTGATTTTATTATTATTTTTATTATTGCCAAACCATTATATATATATATATATACATATACATATACATATATATATATAAATCAGTAGGTAGACGCAGACAAAATAAACTGCTACGATACTTTGACTTGTAGGAGACATAGAAATATTTATTAGCGAAATTTTCGGCAACTCCTGTTACCTTCGTCAGCGCATGAGTATCAATGAGAAACTTAACAGTAGATGTGTATAAGAGACAGTAACAGAATACATAAGACTATACAATGGGTGATTAATCACCAGATCTATAAACAATAGGTTACACAGTCTTATCACTAGCAATAGTTTATAAGGAGGCCTTAAGTCTGACATAAGCAAATTGGCATAAATAACTGGTCAGAGTGGCGAATCTAATGAATGGTAAACAAGGAAAAAGGCCTATAAACAACAAAAATATGATGATGAAAATAATATAATACCTGTCTCTTATACACATCTAGATGTGTATAAGAGACAGGTATATATATATATAAATAAAAGAGTGGAGTTCTAGTTTCTAATAAAGTTACTTGTCATACAATCCCAGGACCTTAGGTTAAAATCCTAGGATTTTTTCTTGTACAGTAGAACCTCGATTTTACGTACGGTACGGGACCGGAGCGTACGTAAATCGGGGGATTCGTAAAATAGAGGTTGGGTTAAATTTGTGGTAACCTTTGACCTAATACGTACGTAACGCTCAATATACGTATGTATGAACGAACGAAGTTACCTAGCTAGGCTAGACCTAGCCTCCGAAGGCCTACGAATAAAACCATGTGTTTAGTGTTTTTATTCATCAATTTACGATGTCATAATAAAGTGTTGAAATAAAACCATGTGTCTAGTGTATTAATTCATCACTTTATGTCTTTTATTTAACAAAAGAACATGAAAATATTGTAAGATTACCTATACGACAAAGGTATAA